TTCAAAATTTGTGTACAGAGAGGTCATAGTTAGTCTTCTTTTGGTCTTACAGGATGTGAAATCACAGGAAAAAGTTCACCAAGCTTAAACTTTAGAATCAAGTGACATGCAAAACTTATAGCGAACTTGTGTTTCTGGTCTGCTGCATTTTCATGTGGCCTTACAGTAGGAAGGGTGTGGCTAAGCCTATTTCGCCCAAGCTGTCAAACTGACATAATCAGAGAAGAACTGTCATTCCAGAGCAAATGCTTAGGTTTTGATTTTTTTTTAAAAAGTGAATGAACTTACAAAGATTAATTGGACACCCTAACACTTAAAACAATGTGCACTAGCAAAGAAAATATTGTAAATGTTGATTTTGTTTGGACTCTAAAAGCCCTGTCATATTTACGTACACACACACACACACAACAAACACTCATATATACAGTACACATATATACACACACAGATACACACAAACACACACACACACACACACACACCAAACACATATACACACACACACACACACACATGCATGCATGCATGCATGCATACAAATACACACAAAACTCCATTACAGATGTTGTGTTATAAATCAGTGGGCACTTTAAAACACAGACTACATCACATCTGCACAAACTAAAGCTGCTTCACTAAACAGCACGTTAATCTATACAATTTAACAGGACTGAAGCCGTAGCAAAAAGCAGACGCTTCATTAAACGGTTATCTTGACAACATAAAGTCAGGACCGCTTTAATTACTAAAAGAAAGAAATGTCATGACATGACAGCCTCCCCAAACGTTAATGTGATGCTACAGACAGCGAGATTAAAGCTCAGGGTGGATGCAGGATGAGCAGCTTCGGCAGGGCTGCGGATTTACCTGGTTCTGCATGTCGCGGAGGTGCGCCATCTCAGTGGATGAGAGCAGATGTAGCCTTTTCTGCCAAAGAAGGGGTGCTGACAAACTCTACAACGTTTTACTCTGGTTCCCCTGCTTAGCTAGCTAGCTTTTACATACAAAAACACCTCTGCATGTCCTGTTCGTCAGCCGCGTTTTCGGCCTCCAATCCCCTGATGGCGGACCCCGCAGCCTGGCGAGAATGACAGTTATGTGTCGTGTGACTCCATTTATGAAAGCATCAGCGTGCGAGCGAACCGCTTTCCGCGTGTTATTGTTTTATAACGATCAACGCAGGCTCGGGCGGCTCTTCATTTATTGCTTGCGGGAGAACAAAATAATAGGACCTACAGCGCATGCGCAGATTATGATTCAAGGAATGAGGAATTGTGGGAGTTGTAGTTGGACAGAAATTAAAATCCAAATTATTTTCCCATTTATCTTGTACGTTAGACCTTTGTGAACTCATTTGTCAATATGTTTCTGTGTAGTAATTGTACACTTTTCTTTTTTTACTTTTAATTTTGTTAAAGTACACATAAACTCAAAACTGACACATTGAATTTGTTTGCTCACAATGATGGTTTTATGGTTACAAATTCATCTGTACAAGTCATTAAGAAAAAAAAATGCCCTTGTAATCTTTAATTAGAAACTGAAAATGCTCTTCCTTATTGTTTTTCAGATCCGCTTGTTAAGTTGTGATGTATCAGTGTGTATGAAATACTGTTTTCGGGTCCAAGCCACTACTCGTTTATGAAAATATTAGTTTATGGCCACTTTTAGTAATAAATCACACTTTAAACTGAATTTTATATAAAATCATAGTACACAACATGCTTTGGACTTGTTGCTTCACCAATAACAAAATTTTAACATATTTTAAAAATGTATCACTTTCTGGCCATCTTATATTAGACATGGAAATATTTATTGTGATCGTGATTTTCACAAGTATTACATCGTTTTGTAAATGTTTATTATTACCATTTGATGAGTCTCCCCACACAGTTTGATATAGCACCTGGACCCGGAAACCGCTTCGCATGATGTCACACTTAACAAGGGGATTAGGTCTGTCTGAGCTGACGTATGGACCCTTTTCACATTTCTGGGTTTCTCAGTAGCGGAAGTTGTCATAGTTGGGTAAACATAGAGTGCAGTCAATGGGAGAGTACAACAAATACATTTTACAATCCTATTTGCTGAAATAATCAAATAAAAACTCAACGAGGGTGTTATCAAAACTTGCAGAAAAAGGAAAAAAATATGAGACTGATAACGGCAGCCAGAAGAGAGAACAACATCAAATGTTTTGTATTGTACCATAGACACTGAATTGGAAAAACCTTGCAAGTGGTAATTAGTTTTAGTGTTTTGATGCAAAGTTGATATAATATGTATATAAATAAATCAAAATTCACAAAGGTTTTAAAACATTAAAACATTCAAGTATTTAAGATTATGATGACTATAAAACATCTTAACAGTCTTGTGAAAAGGGTCCATTGGGTGTTGTTAACATACTAAACCACACCTCTACAACTGTCAGTGTACTGGACTTTTTTTCTGGAAATTTTTTTGAATGAACATTACAAAAGCACATAAATAATTCATACTAACCAATGGAGTATTGTAAAAAAATAAGATCTGTCAATACTGTTCTCATGGTGACTTTTCTGTCCACTGAAATCTACACTAAATAGATTCATTAGGCTTAACAGAATAATCCGACTACATGAACCGATACATTACAAATACTCTTTACTAAGCAGGGGCAAAGCTACTGTAAAAATCTGGGGCTCTATTTGTGACAATATTCAATGAGATTCTTTAGTCAAGATTGAGTTTTGGGAGGGAAGAGGAGACCGATTTAGGCCTCTGGGCCCAGTCTTCAGCATTTCCTGCTTACTATACACCTGTAAGCCACAGTTGGCACTTGATGCATGAGCAAAACACCCCAGATAAAGTATACAGATTTCTTTTTATGGCAAAAATCTTAAAAATATTTAAAAATCTTAAAAGTATTTAAAACTTTAAAAGTAAAAATCATGTTCCATGAAGATACTTTTGTGAATTTTGTATAACAAAACATAATTTTGATTAGTAATATGCATTGCTAAGTGTTTCATTCAGACAACTTTGAAGTCTGTGACTTTTATCTCTGTGTTGATGTACTTCCAACTGAAATGGAATATTGAGTAGGGGCGGGGATTTCTTTTTTGCATCATTGTGTAATAGTAACGGTAAAAGGGGTGTGGTTAAAGATATGACATACAGTTGCTATGGAAGCCCTCGGCTTAACGTCAACAGAAGAACCCCTGGCACACCAAGCGCAGAAGCAAATGGTCAGACTTTAAATGTAGATTTACATTTTTTCATTGGATTAACTTGCATTATCCATTTTAAGAGTAACAATGTGAGCTAGCAAAATAAACATTGTAAATTTTGATTTCATGCAGACTTTAAAGGTAATCTCAACCTAATATCTCCTATAATTACAAACTACATCAACGAAAAGCTTGTTTATTTAGCAAGTGATGTTCAATTATATATTTTCTTTTCGGCTTAGTCTCTTTATTAATTAGGGGTCACAGCAGAATGAACCGCCAACTGATCAAGCCCGTTTTACGCAGAAGATGCCCTTCCTGCCGCAACCTAACACTGGGGAACACCTATACACTCTTACATTCAAACATACACTACAGCCAATTTAGCTTATTCAATACCACATGTCTTTGGACTGTGGGGGAAACCGGAGCACTCAGAGGAAACCCATGCAAACACTGGGAGAACATGCAAACTCCACAGAGAAATGCCTCAGCAAGTGATGTATACACTTTTTTAAATTAAACTTACGATGGGTTTGTGATCCAAGGTCACATATCATTCATTAAAGGTCAAAGCTGTACTCAAGCATGATGATTATTCAAGTTAAAGAGAGTGTCCCAAGAAGTGAATTATCATACCTTTTAAAAATTCTAGGATTACCACTACGGCTAGTCTATACTGATGCATGCACATACCAAGCCTAATGGAGGTCTATTAAGGAGTCAGACAGGACTTTAAACCAATGCATTGGTTTGGAGAGGATTAGCCTGCTAAACATAGACAGATAATAACTTACTCGGTCAACCACTAGAGCAAAGCATGAATGAACTTCCCGCTGATCCCTAAAGGGAAGAATCATTGGTCTTCATGAAATAGGCACTTAATGTGAATGGGCTCAACACCTGTCTGTTCTGAGAAAAAAAAATCCTATTTTTATTCAGAGTGTGCTTCTAATAAATCAATAAACCTTTTAAATTTTATGTGTAGCTTAAGTACAAGTTAAAATGTCAAGTTAAAGTCTGTCTTAAAAAAAACATACCTCTACGTTAAGCACAGTGTGCAAGCTGTTATTCTATATTTTATTGTGATATTTAAAAATATTTAACTTTTTAAAGATTTTATGATTTTTACAATTATTTTTATTTAGGGGAACTCCTTGATAAAGACCCCCTCGAAAAGGCGATGGTTCATCTCAAGGGGTTATCCTATTTTATAAAGTAAAATTCATATTTACTAATATCTGTAGGCCTAAAGTAACTTTGGTAAACACTTGCTGTGTTCCTTTAAAAGGTATCCTCTATAAATTTACTTCGATTTCATATTGCATGTTGGTCTGTTGCATGAAAACGATTTGAAGAGTTTATTATTGTACATTTGATTTGGTATAGTTCATGAACTAAAAGCATTGTGAGCACTGACTGTCAGGATGCCATTGACTGTTTTATATTTGGACTAAGCCGTTCACTTGCTTGATTAGTGGTTACCTAAGCGTTCCAGGTAGAGAGAGAGGGAGAAAATGCTGCCAAGTGTGCGACTGAGGGCACAAATGAAGAGCCACTTCAGGACAGATCCAAAATATGACAGAAAGTTTTTGTTCTCCCAAGAGATGAAAGAGGAATGATGAAAGTGATCAGCGGAAGTTGATTGATCGATCGATTAGCCTAAAACCAATCGCTCAGGAGGGAGTTTAATGTGGGCTGACCAGTCGTCTTTTTGTTTCACCTGATTGGCTATTTGACTTCGGGAAACCTGTTTCATATTGAAGTTATCTGAACTTTCGCCGTGGACATGGGCTTCTTGTTATTAGCGGAGTCGGTGGGTTGTTTATGTAGGCTACATTACTTTATCCAGTGAAGTTGCGGTGGTTTGTCCTCGTGTCAGACAAACATGCGGGACATGAACGTGTTCGCGCGCTCCTCCGTGCTCGCCGCCGAGATGATGGATGTGTTTGATCGCACTCACACGGAGAAAGAGCTCGTCTTTCAGTCCAAGGAGCTGTGTAGAGACTTCATTCACTCCAGGATCACGAGAGAAGGACTGAGTTGGTCAAAAGTCGAGCTGGACCTGCCAGAACCGCGCGGAGTTCTTGTAGACGTGTCTGTGGTGCTGCTTAAACTGGGTAAGAGAAGCAGGAGTGAGTGGGAACTGAAAGGAGATCACCCAAAAAATAATATTCAGTCATCACTCTCTCTTTACCTGCTTCAAAACTGTTTGAGTTAATTTCTTCTGTTGAACAGAAAAGACGATATTTCGAAAAATGTTGGCCTTCCATGTTTGTTTTTCCTAAATCAAGTTTCTAACATTTTTCAGAATATCTTGCTTTGTTTTAACAAAAATGAAAACTCATAAAAGTTTGGAATCACTTGAGGGTGAGTAAATAGTTAGTATGCTTTATTTATTTATTTATTTATTTATTTAATTTTTGGTAAGGCTATCACTTGAAACTCTTAACAGGTGTGTATGGTAATGTAATAGTACAGTAAGCTATTTATCTTCTAGGTCAGCCTTCAGATCACGCAACTTTCTTCCAATTTTTGTAAGTTGTTGTATTTGGAGAAGTATTTATTTTGTTTCTGATGTCATGATTCTGGACCTTTGAGGACAACCAAAAAATAAACATTTTGCTTGAATGACCACTATTCTGAATACTGCGAGTTTCTGGTGAACACACCCCTCTCAGTATCGGAGCATATTTAAAATTAAGATTATATTTTTATTGTAACTTAACAACAAATGGATGTTTAACAGTTTACGATGTATCGCATACTAACACACCACCACAAACAGATAAAAGAATATATAAAGATCAATAGACGCTCTCTAGAAAGGTAATATGTTCAATGGTCAGTGCAAAAATGGAGTAAGACAACATAGTGCTGAATACAATAAAAGGTGTATATATGCATTCTATATGTTATAGGATATCAATGCATGTCAAGGTTGTATTAATTAGTATGGGTTTAAGAAAAATGTTAACATTTGCTTTATTTCGTAACATTACTTCCAAGTTTTAAATAAATATATATTGTCATTTAGATAAATGTTTTAATTTGTTGCAAATGGGACCATAACCACTTTCAAGGTTTACAAAAGTCAAGGTTTTAAAACCGCCAAAGTTTTCTGTTATACTGTTCCTAAGGTATATGCAAGTTGTTGTTTTTTTTTACGTTTTTCACAACTATTCTATTTAGTTTTTTAGGGCAGCAGTTTCTCCAGCAGGAAATGAAACTCTACATCAAAAGCCACTGGTCCAAAGTATTTTAAATGTATCTCAAAATAAAATATACTCAATGTTCAATGAGGAAAATGTTTTAGTTTTTTACCCAGACATTTAAACAGAACATATTTTAAAGCTGTAATTACAATACCGTGAAACTGTGAGATTTATATCCAAGGTTATCATGCTGTCAGAATCTTATACCGGTCCATGCCTAGTTGCAAATGAATGTAAACATGTCTGACAAAAACAGCACCTGTTTTGTTGTATTCTGCCAAAAAAGTTCTAAATGACATTTTTATTTGAAATATCATCATTATTTTCCAGTATAAAACCAAACATGTTGTAGATCTAAATCCAAAAATAATTTGTACAAACAAATATGAAGAAATATGTCAAGTGTAAACTGGAAATGTGTATACAACGTTTGTGGTTTTGCATTTGGAGTTCTTGAGAGACAGGTTTTATGATGTACAGTACATGTTTTGGAGGATAAAGAGGGTATAGGTACAGAATTGAAATAATGTTACTGGTTTTGCTTTTGTTTTACAGGTGATGAACTGGAGTGCATGCGTCCATATGTGTATCGTAATATTGCAAAGCAGCTGAATATCAGCGTATCGGTGGAAGCTGTGGTTTCAGATGCATTTCTCTCGGTAGCAACAGAAGTCATAGCCATGGGTAAGTGAGTGGGATAACAATATAACAGAGGCCTGTTTCAGAAAGGAAGTTAAGTGAAAACTCTTCAATATGTTAATCTTGAAATGAGGGAAAATCTTGAGTTTTTTTGTTTCAGAATGGTAGGTATGTCAAACATGAGAAAGAGCTGTCAGTCAAGCCTGTCTCTAAAAGGGAGGTAAATTATACTGTCACCATAGTAACTTTACTTTCAGTCCCATCTCATTTTTTTTTTAAGTTTAAGCAATGTCTAAGTACTTTATTTACTGATTCAAACTGCAAAAATGCTTTTCTCACGAAGTATAGTGAGGATAAATTTAGTGGTGTTGCCATAGATTACGGCTTTTTAAATGCTTGGTTGAAGTGGGGATGTTATGGGACTTTATGATCTGATTCCAAAACAATCCTTAACTTCAAAACTTCTGCTGTACATTTACATTTTTACAACATTACATTTCAACCAGAATTAGAGTTTACTTGCTTGTCTTTAATGATTGGATTCCATGTATGACAGAACTTTCATCTTAAAAACATTTTATTAAAGAATTGTTCTGCTTGAACCGGCTTTAAATGTAATAAAAAGAAAGATTACAAAGAGTAATTATGAACAGTAAACTTATTTCATAAAACCACATTTATTTTCTTAAAAAATATACGATTTTTAAAAATTTTTAAAAATTTGTTTCCTTAAAATTTACTTTAAGGAATTTATTTTAAGGAAAGAAATGTACAGCTAAAGTCAAAATGAGTAGCTGTCTTGTGAAATTATAATTATTTTAAAAATATTTCCCATATGCTGTTTATCAGAGAATATTTTTTTCAACACAATACATTTAATAATTTAATAATTAAAAACTAATTTCTACTAACTAGTTTCTTTGGTCTTGGTCATGATGAGTAAATCATATTTTACTAGTTATTTTGCAGGTTACTAATATTCAGCTTAAAGCATGAAGCAAGTTTTAAAACACAGGAATGCTTTATTATTTGCAGCACAGTGCAGTAGGCCTAGATCACTTTCATTTACAACCCATTTACCGACCACAAGCCTTCACTCGTAATGGAGTGTGCCATAATGGTCATACTATCCTTTCTGACCTTTTAGTGATTTTATAAAACCACTGACACACTGGACGAGTAGCACAGCTCTTCACAGTGTCTATATAATGACCCAAGTTTTCGCTTTTGTGTGTGTAAGGAATTTGGATAGTGTACTGAAGCTGGTGTCCTGACATTTTATCCTACCCATCAGATTATGCTACTAACACTGTATTTGAATGGTTCTGAGGTTGGGGTTTAGGATTAGGTTGGTCAGGGCATTATTACAGCTTCATCTCATACTACTCCACATTAAAATTTACACTGGTAGCAAAATCTGATGGGTGGAATATTGCGTCTTCAAATTGTGCTACATACTTTTTGAATGGGAAGTAGGACAGTCTGACAAGGTAGGATCAGAAGCGCAGAGCTTTGCCTGTTATTATCAGTCTGTTCAAATTCTTTATCATGCATGTGTGTATCTATCAGTATCGTTTTTTGTTTAGAACGCAATCTTAATTTTAATACAGAATCAATTCTGAACTTTTAAGAATCGATTCAGAATCATTAGAGAAAGAATCGTAATGCATTGATTTTTATTTTTTCCTTCCACATTTAACTTCTCTTCACTTAACTTTATTCATTCATTTTCTTTCAGCTTATTCCCTTTAGTCATCAGGGGTTGCCACAACGGAATGAACCACCAACTTATACACTCATATACTACTGCAATTTTAGCTTATTCAATTTACCTATAACACATGTCATAGACTGTGGGGGAATCAGAGAAAATCCTCACAAACACAGGGAGAACATACAAACTCCACACAGAAATGCCAACTGACCCCACCAGGATTCAAACCAGTGACCTTCTTGCTGTGAGGCAACAGTGCAGAAGGGTACAGAAGACCGAACAGAAGATTAGAGTTAGCTAAACCTCCTTATTGAATCGTCACCTTGGTGATGTGGGCATGACTGACCTCACTGGCCTTGCATTAATAAACAAAATATTTTTTAAATAAATGTAATAAATATTAGTGTTAGTAATTATTATTATTATTATTATTATTATGTATTAGTACTAATAAATTCTGTGCCTAATTGGGGCTTTTTTGGTGGGCAAAGTGATAAACTGCAGAGTTGCACGTAAGGCCATCATGACTACTATAAATGGAGTGAATTCAGAGATTGTGGGATGTGTTCCAGATGTAAATTAAGCAATGTAAGCCTGAGCAGGGTCTGAGCTTCAGTCTTGGACGTTAATTTCATTATGTTTGTTTTTATTAAATTACAGTGAAATGGTCTTTACTGGAAGAGCAGTTGACTTGAACCTATTGTTGCATTTGAGAGGGCTATTTGGTCATCTGCTTCTCTCAGGGTTTAACGACAACTTCTTTTTTCAGAACATGAAAAAAAAAAAGAAAAACCCTAAAAAGGACATACCCACATTCTTCCCGTTGTACATATTTGGTCGCATATTTTATCTTGGTTCTAATTCTATTGATGCACATGGTGGTCCACAACCATGGAAACATCACTTCTCTCTGCCCACAGTGATCTTGCAAACTTTTATGTCCTCTATAATGTACTCTAGTTCTGTGAGGAATTATCTCAAATGAAAGCTGAGAATGGAGGAACATAAACAATGGTCATTGCCTCTTGGCACATCATTAAATTAAGCGTTTTTTAAGACTTAATGGTGTTGGCCTTCCTGTTACTGTCAGCACAGCCGAGCTGCATTGCTTTGTAGTAGAGCAGGTTGCAGTTTAACCCTTCTTCTACTAAATAAACTCCGTATTTAAAAAAATAATATTTTTTTGCATAAATCTGTTAATCAACCTTAGTCCAAAACTACTAAATGTTTTTAAACTTTACAGGATTTTAACTCTTTAATCACCAAGTTCACAAATGATGTCACTGATTTGGTGAAAAAACACATACAAAATGACATTTTTTCAGCATAAAAGGTAATTGTGGACTAGATTTTTTGCCTTTTATCACAGTCTTGGACATGTGAATGATGAGCAACTACATTGTTGTACTGTTGGTGGATGTTTCTGCATCATTGACTTCCATATAACCACATTTGATGGTGCATAAATACACAGTCTTTGTTTTTAATTACTCCATGTAGGTCTCAGAGCTAAAATGCGTATTTTGTAAAAATATAAAAATTTCCAGTCCACAGTTACTTTTTATGTTACATTGCATCTACATGCCAACTAATTCTCATTAGATTACAAGTAGACTGTTAGGTTAGGGTTGGGGTTAGTGTAAGTTGACATGTACTTGCTAAGTTTCTTATAGTCAGTTAAATGTCTGTTGAAGGAGCATATCAACATATTAAGCTGACAGTTTACTAATTCTCAAATGGACCATCAAAATAAAGTGTTACCCATAATTTTTAAATGTGGCAATTAAAGAATTAAAATCCAGTAATTTTCTAGACAATTTAGTAGTTTTGGTCGGGACTGAGGTTAATTAAATTTATGCTAGGAAATTTGAAAAGAAATTTAATCTGATGCATTTTTACAAGTTTAATTCGGTGGATGTTTTCATCCCTAACATAACAAAAGGGTAGTAAATCTGCCCAGAGTATCATTGTTTTTTTCCCCTCAAATTATATGTGAAAATAAGATTTGCCACCATAAATCATTCTGCTTGCTGAAACACAGAAAAAGTTATGGCCAAATTAAGAATCAAACTCGCCTCAGATGATGAAAACATCCCAACAGTACATAAGGGTTAACTGTTTAAGTTGTACACAGTAAGCTGTAATATCCTATATAACAATATGTCAATATTAATAGATAAAATATTTATAGCAAAGAGTAGTTCAAATGACCTGTGTTAGTTAAATAATCACAGTGAAATGGGAATGTTGAATTAATTCTTTAAAATACATTTTGGTGTTAAATTTCCAAAAGTGATTTATATTGAGGTATAGTGTGCGCCTTTCAGATAGTATTTATGAGAATAAAATGCTAAAATATAGGTGAAATAATGATATATTGTCATTTAGAGTAATATGGGTGAAATAATGATATATTGTCATTTAGAGTAATATGGGTGAAATAATGATATATTGTCATTCAGAGTAAATTATATAATTGGGTAGATCTGAAACTACATATTTATTGACTTGTACTTATTCAAATATACAACATGACTAAAATTTTAACATACTGTATGTTAAATAATAAACAAACTTTGTGCTGACAATTGGGTAAACTCCAGTTCGAAGGATGGATGCAAAGATTTAAAATGACATCCCTTTGGGGTTGTAGAGATGCTAATCTTTTATTGTGTTATAAATGGGAATATTTTTACTGCTTTTAAATTGTTAAGAGGATGTTATTTTAGTTGATATTGTCTATAAATCATGGTAAAAAAGGATTATTTTGTTTAGGAAAAAAGTGAAACAGGACACATTCTCTAATGCATGAAAAAATGTAAATCTCATTTGTTCCTTTTACATTTGCATAAGATACGAGCAAATTGACATTGAAACCCGCTGTATAAATTACAAGAGGGCATTTGAGGTGCTTAGTTTACCTAAAAATGAACATTTATTCACAATTTACTCACCCTTAAGTGGTTTCAAACCTTTACGAGGTTAACACAAAAGAAGATATTTTGCAGTAAGCTGAGAACTTGTAACCACTGACTTTCATGGTAGGAAAAACCAATACTATGGAGGTCAATAGGTTAAAAGTTTCCAGCTTTCATCAAAAATTGTTCCTTTGTATTCAACAGAAGAAGAAACCCTAAACGGGCTTGGAGTAAATAATGACAGAATTTTCAGTTTTGGGTGAACCGTCTCTTTAAAGGCAATGCTTTTCTAGCTCTGCTCATAGAATGTTTTTTACTTTTAAAGGAATCACATGGGGTAAAGTGGTGGCCATCTACGCTGTAGCTGCCGGGCTTGCGGTGGACTGTGTGCGACTGGGCCATCCTGTCATGGTGCACACTATTGTGGACAGTCTGGGAGAGTTTGTGCGGAGAAGTCTCGTGCCATGGCTCAAAAAGAGAGGAGGATGGGTAAGTGCTCGTCCTCTGTACTAAACCAAGACCTATCCTGACCTCTAGAGGCCATGTTGTTGTTGTTATCCACCTGCAGACAGTTCCCCCAAAATCGAAAATTCAATAAAAAATCATTTACTCATCGCTTACTCATTTTGAGTTTCTTCCTTCACAAAAGAAGATAATTAAAAGAATGTTGGAAAACGGTAACTATTGATGTCCATATAAGGGTTCCCAAGGCCATTGAAAGTCAGGGAATGTTTTTATGTCCAAGTCATAGAAAATCAAGGATTTTTGTTTGTCACTTTGAAATTGAAATTGGCATTTGTCAATACTATATCAAGCTTTATCCTCACGTTGTTTAACAGGTTTTGCCTATTTTTTTGGTTATTTTTTTGCACCACTTTTATTTATTTTTCACTCATCCACTGGCCATCACTTAAGTCAAACTGTAGCTGCTAACTAAAGCAGACACTCCAGGAAAATCATTTATAGAGCTATGAAAATTACAACTTCAAAGACTGGGTGCTTGTTTCTTTTTTTTCTTTTTTTTAAAATCTGAAATAAATTATCTATTGTTGCTCTCTCAGTGACAATTAAATTCATGACAACTATTTTAGATGCGTACATAAAAATATTCTAGCTCAAACTCTTTTAAATATTATGCAAAGTTCGACAGTGCCTTGTTTTTCCATTCATTATAGGCCATGGAGGTTCAGCTTTTTAGTCAATGAAAATCAGGGAATTTAACACTTGGCTGCCATAGAAGTCAATGGAACTCATTTCCAAAATGTAAAAAAAAAATTTTTTTTAAATCCTGTTTTGTGTTCAACCTCAGGAAAAAAACTAAAACTAATGCGAGTTCATTTTCATGTATCAAAAATGATATTTTGCTCATTTGCTTATTTACCCAACAATGAGATGGCTTTTTCCAGTTTGTTTTCCAGCTCGTCAGAATACAAAATGTGCGATAAACGGATTATACATTTATTCTGTGCAAACCCAAAAGGGCATAAGGTGTGTTTAAATGTATGATTTGTTTGTTTAATGTGTGTATTGATATAAAACAGGGGTCACCAACCTTATGGAAACTGAGAGCTACTTTTTGGGTACTGATTAGTGTGAAGGGCTACCAGTTATTAAATAACACATTTTTCTTAATTTACTTTTAATTATATGTTATTATTAATAATTAATAATATTCATCTATGTGAAGACATTGATCATGTTAATGATTTCTCACAGTAGTTGTCAACAATGATTTAACAAGTTAGATAAATATCAATATGCAACACTTCATTTGTCTGAAATTGTTTTTAAAGTTTTTTTTTTTTTAATACATTATATAACTTAAAAGTGCTCTGGTGAGCTATTTTTAGAACAGGCCCGCGGGCAACTCATGTGAACCTGGCGTGCTACCTGGTGTCCCCAACACAACTCGTCCCATAATGTGTGGAAATTTAAACCACACTGAACTGAACTAAACTGAACTTTAACTCTGAAATCTGGACTTTACTAGAACTTTGAAGCTGCTTTGACACAATCTACGTTGTAAAAGCGCTAAAAAATAATTTATTAAATTTAATTTATTTAATTTAATAATCAATTCATGAATTGAATTGAATAAAGGTAGCATAAATAATCCTCTCTAACACTGAGGAATCTACTCAACTTGTTTAAATATTTTTGACAAGTATGATTATTTTGCATTTATGTATTTCAGAGTAAATCACACTATGCGTGAGTGTCAGACAGACACTAACATGAGCTGCAGAGCTCATTAATATTCATGGCCCTTCCAAATATGGTAAAAAACAATTGTATTAAATTAGGGTCAATTCCTTGGGTTGGAAATGGGCCTGTAAAATGGTTTATGGAGAATTTCTGCACTTACCTAAGCCCACATACGGTCTATTTAGATCAAAGAATTTAACATGTATCAATCCATTCTGTGGCACATTCAAAGAAAGTTTGTAGCTGAAACCATGGCTCTTTGTGAATTATTAAATGCAAATCAACAGCTACTCGCAATAATCCCAAATAATTATGGTCATTTGAAGTGAACTGGTGACCTGTGCACGAAACATTAATAATCAGTTTCTGCTTTCATTTTATAGCATTCATTTCTGTGATGCATTAAATGACCAGGTTTTCTTTGTCTTTCCCAGGTTGACATTTTAAAATGTGTGGTGAACATGGACTCTAGAGCTCATGTCCATTGGTTATCGACAGCAGTGTTAACATGGAGGGAATTCATAAAGACTATGTACGTCTACCTGACGAAGTAGACTTGCGCATGAATTCATCGTGTTGACCGAGGACTCTATCTTTCCCTCTCTGAACTGTTTGTGGAGTAAACGGCCCCTCACAAAGGTCACAGCACAATCACTCAGATTTAACTGCACCCTAATCATCATTTACCTGCTTGTTTCTTTAATACTATTCAAAAGACTGAAACAATCACTATGATCTGACACTGTGTGGAGGGGAAGGTGCTGGAGTAACATGATGTCTGTCTTCCTTTGGTTTAAATGAGCCAGAAATAAGGTAACAGGTAACGGAGTTGGGTGGATTCACCCTATACTGAGGTTTTATATTGAATGAATGGAGCGGTGAGTGAAAAGTTTGACAGTCGTCAGATTTTTATTTTTTACAAAACTGCGTAATTAAGATGATGTTTGGAGTGTCACTTTGCACTTTCAGTTTGTACAGTTTGTGTGTGTTTGTGTATAACACTGTTGTCACCAGCTGTACACATCTTGAAATAAAGGTTTTAATGTGTGTACTGAGAAAGAAATTGACTGTTTGTACAGAGAGATGTCTTCAAGAAATATCAGGGATATTGTGTTTAGCTAACAAAATGATTAATCTACTCTGCCATTAAAATGTTTTTTTAGATTTTTTTTATTTTGAAAAATCAATAAGACAATATGGTCATTTGTTCCTCAAGCAGCATTAAGTTAGCACAATTTGAAATGTTAGCTGTTTACATATTTTTTGTGCCACTTTTTCCAGGGTTCTTTTATTAGGGGCCCAAGCACCGAAAGTGTGTAGGCACCTATTGTATTAGTTCCAGTTCTTCTTATAATTCCGGCTTTCTCTTCTGCTCTGATCTTCAACAACAACAAATTTGGACTCTCTAACTCAAAGTAGCGCCACCACTTGTTTAAAGTTTCACTTAGGTTTATCTTTATAACTTTTGAACTGTATGGGCTACAATCAAATGTTTTTCCTCTGATTCCTTGGCTCAGGCCGATTCAAATACACCCTATAATGTCAATTTCTGTCATGAATTTTTTTTTTCGCTATTTACATTTTTTCATAAAACCTATTTGACTAAACTCATCCTAGTTTGTCCGATTTTCACCAAAATTAAATCACATGACCTTCAGACCATGCTGACCATTCAAGTTGGTTAGGCGATCCGTTTTTAACTTGCGAACAAATTTAGCGTTGAGCTTGCAAAAATTGACTTAAGGTGTTATCTCCATAATGCATTGACGTATTTACACCAAACTTGGTGTATGTTATTACAACCATGGTCTGAAGTGAGCTGCAGCGTTTCGGCAGACTGCCCCCTAGTGATCCGGAGATACAAAAAAAAAAACTTGTTTTGCTTATTCATTTTGTACAAAATACATAAAACTGGTCTCTTTACATCCTGCGGAGCATGCCAAGTCGAAAGATGTCTGATTTTCCTAGGTCAGTGGTTCTCAAACTTTTTTCATCAAGTACCACCTTAGAAAAAAATGGTCTGTCCAAGTACCACCAAAATGAGCAGTATTGAAATACAGTAATACAGTAGCGTGGTAGGCCCAGTAAAGGAGCTACAACTCTGCACAGTTAAAAAACGTGGCAGAGTACCTCAGAAACATAGGCTATATGTCATATGTGGCATATTATATACATCATTTTTGATAAATTTTGAAATGTGTGTAGCATGTACATGACATATTTCATTCCTCCGCGTACCACTAGAAGGATCCTGCGTACCACTAGTGGTACACGTACCACAGTTTGAGAAACACTGTCCTAGGTCAACCATTTTGGTATCGGCCATTTTGAATTGTCAAAAATTATGTCTGCTCTATTTTACGGACACATTGGCGAATTATAAAGATCAGTATGGCTGCGTCTGAAACCGCATACTTCCATACTATATTGTACGCTAAAATCAGTATGCGAGCCGAGTAGTATGTCCAAATTCATAGAATTTGAAAAACAGTATGCAAGAAGTACCCGGATGACTTAGTACTTCCGGTGAGATTCTGGAGTGCGCATCCCATGCACGCTGCGCTATCCCATGATGCCCTGTGTGCGAAGTTCTGAATGGGAGTGAAGCGACAATTGACGCAAGTAGGTTGCGTGACTATGACAAAATGGCGGATGTAGTACGTCTGAATTCCCTTCCTACTTTTCACATTCATACTGTATGGAACGTACTTCTCGAACGGCTGAGTAGTATGTTTAAATTCAAATGCAGTACCTACTGAGTAGTAGGCGTTTCAGACGCAGCCTGTGTTTTCGGAACTGAGCCCTAAAGGAGTTTAAAGTTTCGTCACAACAGCACCTTTTGGTTAAACGTTATAACAATAATTCTAAAAGTGCTAATAACTTTTGATGCATTTCTTGGGTTGTTCTGAGAATAACCGATACCAATTATGCCTTAATTAACAACTTCCTGTTCGCCATTTAGCCTTGGGTCAAAAACCTTCTTTTTTGAACTGCTACATTATTTGGCTGATTTGCACCAAATTTGACTCAGATCATCTTCAGACCATGCTGACAAAAAGTTATTGAATTTGTGTCGATAGGTTTTAGTTTACACCAACAACAAATATGCTGGCATGATGCCAAATTACATCTGAGGCTGTATCTCTGTGATGGTTAAAGATAATGACACCAAATTTTAAGTCTATCGTTGTTGCCTCACACTGACCACAACATAGAAGCTTGTAATAATGAAACTTACAAATTTGATAACTTTTGACTGCATATGCTTGTTTTGATGAGTTCCAGTTGCTCTGTAGCTTGTTGCCATGCTTGTTTATGATGTGGCCGCTGGGCTGCTTGGTCCCGATAATTGCTGTTTGCAGCTATATTTATTATTATTATTATTATTATTATTATTCTTTTAGAAGGGATAGGATTTAACTATTTTAACATTAGGAATTCTAAATATTTATTTATTTTAAAATGTTAAGCCAAAAATACAAATAAAAGTGCAGATTTAACTGTTGACTAGAAATTACCCATAGTAAACAAAACAACTGCACTTTTAATCAAGAAAAAATAAATGTGTATTTGATACTACTATAAAAATATTTTATAATGGTATATGTACTTTTAAAAATGAGAATACTTTTTAAATATTTTCTTTTAATCAAATCTTCCAGATAGCTATGGTGCTGTGATCACATTCCTTCAAGTGACATGAAGGTCCACACTCAATTTATTCACAGGAGAAAAGAAAAAAAACAAACAAATATTTTGTCTGTGAGCTGTCATTTATTACTCATTAGCAAAATGACGTATCCCTGAATTGTTGTTCAATTTATTAAACATGTTTAACATACAAAGTTTCCTCTTTCATACACTTTTACTGGAGAGTAAATTAATTCCTAGTAGACATTTTAATAACATCTAATCTGTAAACTTAATCTTATAGAAATGGATATAAAAAACAAAAACATGCTCATCAAAAACAAAATATGCCATAAACAACCTTAAAACAATTTCAGTTTGTAAAGAGACATTCATAGGTTTATTACAGTATCTCTAATATACATTATATAAACCTTTTTATTTGTAACATTATTTCCAAAGCATATTTTTTAAAAGACCAGATCAGTGCAAATCTACTTCTTTAGATGACGTTCATAACCATACATATATCACTGTTACCTGCAGACTGCAATAAAATATAAAAATCAATATTTGATGTCAGACTAGTACATAAACTGAAGTGCTGCTCAGAAACACACCTTTTCTTCCACATGACAGTGAGTTACTCAGTCCTGCGGTACGTGATGTGCAAATGCTGTGTCAGAGGCTGTCCTTCCAGAGCCATACACACTGTCTGCTCCAGACGTCCATCCGCACGCAACTGAATGTGCCTAGAGATCTGATTTAAAAAAAAGGAGTTTTTATAGCATCAAATCAACATTTCTATTTCTATTCAAGTCGCTCAAGCAGCTATTTCTATTTTTATTATCATTATAATTATTCTATAATTATTGTAAAAATTACAAAATGAATAAAATAATTATTTTTAAAAATTATTAAATAGAAATATAATCATGAAGTGCATCTTAAAAGATAAAAATTTAGGTAAATGTACCATGACAACAAAAAATCTATTGTGCGTCTGTAAACAAACTGTTCACTTTAGTTTCACTTAATACAAAAATGGGGTTATAATAAAGTTAACATACATTTTTATAATTAAAGGGCCATGAAACCCCCTTGTTTCTGCAGGGTGTTTTCACAGCTCTACTTTGGAAAAAGTCTAGAAAGTGGGCGTGTCCAGCTCTGTATAGGGGGAGTGTCGGAGGAGCAAAAGAGGGATGGTCTGTAAAATATTTGCATAAAAATGGGAATGTCGTTTTGCATGCGCTGATTTTCAGAGTCAAAACACACACACACAGGGGAGAAAGACTGACTGTTTACGTGGACATCAGTAATCGAATTATTTGACAAATTATTAAATGGTGGACTTAAACTGCAGTTTGGCTCTTTCGTTCAGGGAATTCATTCATGCCCCTCGTGACATATTTGATTCGAGGAACTGCTCTAATAGTGTATTTTTCATGCAATGTTTGATACCGCACGGCGCCATACTTGCATCAATTAAGAGTTAAGCAAAAAGCTGCTGATTTTTATTTCAAATTTACTCAAACACAAGTTTATAAATTTGAATTATTTTAAATATTGTAACATTTGTAAAATGTTTATCTGGTTGATGTGTTTGTAAAATTTGGACAATAAAAGAGTAGTTTAAAATAACAACTAACTAGCTTTTTATGTTGTAAAAGGGAAATAGCCCTTCATTGTAATCTTCCATAAAAAAGCACATAAATTAACACTATTCTTTTTATCCAAAGTTTGATGTAAAGCAGGGCTATTCAATTAGTTTGTCATGGGGGCCAGTTCATGAAAAGCATCCCAAATGAGGGGCCGGAGAGATATGACTTGCAGTCTAAAGGATGACACAATAGCATCCATCCAACAGCCCATATGCTGTATTTTTGCTCCTTAGACACCCACGTTGGCTTTTTCTACATTAAAATGTTGATATGTTGTATTTTGAAACTACATAACATCACTGCATTGTACAAAATGTTTTTTTTTTTTAAAACATATTTAAATGTTGTATTTCAAAGCACAACAAAAGCAGTGAATTGCTTAAGTAGGCTTCTCTTACATTCAAACACATTCCTATGTTGTTTTAAACGGCGTAACAATTAGGGATGCAACGATTATAGATTTTGGTTGTACGATTATAGTCTGAAGAATAATCATGGTTTCACGGTTATCACCGTTATTATGTTTTTATTAAATTTAAAACACTACTAGTTTAGAAAATAACAAGAAAACTGCTTAAATTTTAAAGGTTTGTTTATTGCTATTGACATTGACATATTGCTACTTTCATTTACAATGAAAATAAATGACAGAAAAATGAATAAATAAATAAATATAAGAATAAATAAAAATAGTATTTGTCTAATGTTAATTTAAGCTACATATTAGCTAAGAATTTAAATTAACTGTTGTTAATATCTGCGTTCATA